TAACGCATGATAGAGATTTGACCAAATGCTTGGAAGTTCGACACGCTTGGAGCCGCGACCCCAAATCGTCTCGGTACACGGGGACCTCCACTTTGCGATCCAAGTGTAAGGAAGGAGCCGCGAACAGATCCTTCGCTTTGATATATGCTCACCGAACAGTGGATTTCACGGCCGCGACCGTCGATCAATGCAAGATCTTGATGGAAGGTTTCTCAGCCTTGTGCTTTCGACTACAAATGGCCCGATTGGAGCAACAGGAGAACGACGACGATACCACGCAACACACAGCAGCGTCAGGCGTCGGGCACGACGACGACTCCACCACTGCCAGCTTGACAGGAACCAACATGTCGGCACCGTGGGGTCTTTGAGACCACTGTCGGGCAAGTTGGGGGCTTGTTACATGTATGCAAAGGTTGCTTCCTTTCATGGATGGCACAATCGAGCAGACTGTGTTTCGTGTTCCATCCAAGGGACTCAAGTCACCCATGGCAGCCGTCTAAACTACGCCTCGCAAACACAGAGTTTGCAAGGCATGCGACCGTGCTTGCGGCCAGATTCTGCATCCTCTGTTCCACTTGATATAACTTCTAAAACAATGTACCATTATTGGTAAAAGCCGAGCAGTCCATTTTCTGCACCGATGGCGGCGACAGTTCATAACCCTCGTAGATTTGTGTTTGCATGGTACACGGCCGCGCTTGCGGCTAGAGGTTTGTATTTTCAGTTGCATCGGTCGCGAACTCGATTTAAACCGATGAAGGCAACTCTCCGCGGTGATACGGTCTCGCGTTCGTACCCTCTGTCTATTCATTGTGGTTCAGTGCAAGGGTGGGCAAGGCCGGTCTGTGATCAATGCATGCACACGTTGAAGTGGGCCTTGTTTTGGTATTTGAGTGAGATGGGTCTGGTAAGGGCCCCAGGAAACGGGCTGGTGGTGGCTGATCATGTTGTTGGGGATTGGGGTCTCCACAAGCGACGCCTGCTGCCACCACCTCGAAAAATCCTCTCTCCAGCATTAGCCCCGTTCTCGAGGGACCGTGAGGCACCTACCGGTACAGTATGCTTCAAGGGCGAGAAAAGTGCAAAAATCGAGGAGGCGGGGGCAAAAAAGTTGGGGCTCTCGAACTTCTACCGTACGGTACCTGTCTAGAGTGCTGCGCGCCCGTTTTGTTGAGAAAAGTTCAAATTTCTCAAATTAGAAAACATCGTAAAAATGTTATGCATAAATGCTTCAAATTTGTCAGAATTGTAACGAAATATTGAAATTTTTGCTTAAGATTTCTTACCGACGGAAGCTGTTCTTCAAGCCACGGCGAGGACCGGGAGTTGGGCGGGGTGTTGGCCCTGGAGTGGTCCAAGTGTCATCCTTGATCGGGCTGGCCCTGGGAGTCGGTCCGTGTGCCAGCCTACTAGATCGGGGTCTGACAAGAGCGGCGAGGCTAGGTGTAGTAGTACCTTGTAGCGTTGCCAGGGACATGGGCATGACGGTGGGAGTGCTGGTCTGGGTTCTTGGGCCAGGAGACGGGCATAGAATGGCATTGCTCGCATCCAACTCGAAAGCCCAACGGCCAACCTCCCCCTACACCACATCCGGGCATTGGATGACTCCCGCTGTAGAGCCAGCTACCAGTACGGTAGCCAGTGACAGTAGAACCTGCTCTGCGGCCTGAAGAGCTTCTTCACGGAGGAGCAGATAGCATCGGAATACAACGCAACCATGGACGTGGTTACTACGCACACTGGTCATCCCCACGGCAACCACCAACTCAACCAGCCAAGAATGAAGCTGACCCAGCCAAATGCACGTTCACTTGTTTCTCTTCAAATCCAGGTTAGCAGAAGCAAGTCTGGGATCACTTGGCTTGCTTCTTGCAATGGAAAGCTAGCTAGCGGTACCAGCCAGTAGCTTTTCTTACACTTTTCTGTCCCACAGGCAACCTGTTCCGAATGCTTCCTACTAGTAGCTAGCCAGGGTGGGCCAATGATCTCGTTCGTGTTGCAGACTGATGCCACCAGTTGTTGATCTTCCCAGAATGATCCGTTGCCCCTGGAGCCTGGAGATGGCTCAGGCAGGATCTAGAGCTCTAGGTTACGGGATCCTCCCTGGTGATGAACAATGCAATCGGACAGTGGCAAGGGATACTAGCTAGCTAGTAGTTTTTTGGTTGACCATTGGACTTGCTTGGACAGCTCTTGGACTCTCCACTTACAGAGAGACAGAGAGATATCCTTGAACCATCTATCTCTCGACATCCACTCCTGAACTGCGAGGCAGGCTCAACATCTCGATGTTGAGCTTGCGATCCTCGGAAATCCCAGATCCCAGTTGCCAAAGGCTCTACTCTATCTGAATGTCTGGTGCTCTATGAGATATAGAAGCATGTAAGTGTATCCACCCAGCGATATTTACTGTAGCAGCTTTGTACTTTTAGAAAGATGCCAAGAGCACAAGGTGTCTGACTCCTAACTGTTGACAGGTCAGAAAACACTTATGGATACACTCGAGTTCACGACTTGACTCAGACTCGACTGAGAGAGTGAGAAGAAAGGCAACACATAACCTGGACGCACACACCAAAAAGACAGAGACATCGAAACGAAAATTGCATCAGTTATGAAAGACAGCTCGAATGACCATGAGCAGTTCCCAGCTTTCCCGTTCTTGAGCAGCAACCAACACTTGGACGAGACGAACTTTGGCAAGCCTTGGTCAGACAACCCCTTCTCTCCTTTTGCAGCACCATCCAAAGGCGCATCAGCAACCGACCTAGACAGCCACGACGGCACGGCAGCCACAGTTTCCACTTCCGGCAGCCACACAACCACCGAAGGTGAGACGACTTCCTTGGGTTGTTCGTCTTCCAAGAACAACCACCACAGCGGTAGCAGTCGTCCACGTCGCAATCACAACAACAACAGAAAAGGCAATATGGGTCTCGGCGATAATGGCGTCGATTCGGATTTCTTGGGCAGTTTGGACGAAGCCTTTGCCAAAGGACCCTCCAAACCGAGCAACAGCAAGACCGCTACCACACCCACCAGCTCGCGTCGGACTCGTGGCAGTAGTCCTCATGGTGACAAGAGCGTGACGAGTCATGGCTCCCAAGAACGTCGTCATACCACTAGTAGTAATGCCCCCGTTCGTGGATTGGCCCGACAGCGATCTCAAAAAAGGGCTTCGATTGCCGCGGCAGTATCGTTAATGGCTGTTGGCGGCGCGGACAAGGCAAGCGACATCGCGGATCGACGAATTCCCAGGCGGAGCAAAACGCACGAAGACCGTCTCCAAGCCGCGGCCAAAATGGGTGACCTCAATACAGGGATCAGTCTGGGCGGGCACGCAGCAGCCGACAATTCTCATACAGAACCACGACCACGACGAGGATCTCGCAACAATAATAATAGTAAGCGTCAAGAAGAAATGTTTTATGATGATGAGATCCATTCCGACGAGGACAATGAGAGTTACGAAGCGTACGATCGAAAAGAGGACCGCAGGGAAAAACGAGGAGGTGGAAGACGACACACCAAGGGACGCAGTGATAGCGATGTGGATCTGGGTTATGGCGAAACGCATCAACACCATCAATCAGGAGGAGGAGGAAGAAGACAAAATCGCCGACAAAGCAGCGATAACGACCCTTACATGGGAGGAGAAGGCCCGCAAACACCAGGTGGAAGGAGAAACCGCCGGAATACTGATTCAGATGTTGAGCTCGAATATGGCGATACACGCGAACCCGCACGTCGTCCTCGGTTGACGGGCAAAGGAGCGAGTAAATCGTTCGACGAGTCCGTGGGAAATTTGAGAGCCAGGCGTCGTCGTGCGTCGGTAATGGGCGCGAATGCTCCTTCGGAACACACGGAAAAGACAGACGCGACCGGTTACAGGGCGCGGGCAGGTAGGCGCAGAGCATCCGTTATGGGTGACGGGGGCGGTGGCGGAGGGGAGTGGCCAGAGGCGAGCCACCGGCACGAGGTGTTCGAGAAAATTTGAGTGGAAGACGAGCTCGGAGAGCCACCATGTCGGTGGGTACACCGGCAGAGCCAGACTTTGGAGAGGATCTTGGTTATGATGACGCGGAACCAGATTTCCGTGGCGGCGGCGGCGGCGGAATGGACGACAGTCAAATGGATGATGCTGCTGATCAGGAAAGACAGCAGAGGCTAGCCGAGAGAGCAAACAAACAGAAGAATATGCTTGAGCGCCTTCGCAAGGCGAAGGAAGAGCAAGAGCAACCAGAGGAGGGTTCCTTGGACGGGTTGGAAACCGCTGAGGAGCCGGAACCAGAGCCAGAAGTCAAGCCAAGATCTAGGCGAAGGGCCAGTATTGGAATCCCCAAAAAGTTCAGTATGAGCACGAACAACTTTGCTTCGTTCGACCCTGACGAAGGAAAGAAAGACGACCGTAAGAAAGACGACCGAAAGAAAGATATGAAGCGAGGAGCCGGCAAGCCAGAACGCACAGGGAAAACGCCTGCGAGAGCGAAGTCGAGCGAGAGTGGTGTTACTGCGGGAAGCGGGCCAACTAGAGGAGGACGCGCCAGGGCCGCTGACACGGATAGGAGGATGCGTGGCTCCATGTTGGATAGAATAGGCGGGTAGACATTGGATGTTTGTAGAGTTTAGAGTGGACGGGATCGATTGCAGCGTGCGTGCTTGGGGGGTTACGCCCGTGGCGGTCTTCCTGGTGTACCGTATTTGTCGAGAACAAGCAAGAGCAAGTTAATTAATTTGAAGTAGAAAGCATGAAGTGCAAATTTCGTCGTTCGTTGGCTGTGTACCCCTGTCCCGAGGAATTTAGGGAGAAACTCGAGGGCCCACACCAGGCCCGAGTCCTGTCCCCAACGAAGGGTCCTGGTGCGGCCCGGGTTCTGGTGCAATACCTGGCTTCATACCGGTACCTACCGGGGCCTACGCTGTAAGTCCTGTTCCTGCGCCTGGGTCACACCCAACCTAGGAGAGTAGATCCTGCGAGCTTGAATTTGACAGCGCACACAAGCTAGTCTCACCGATGATGGTGAGACTGTGTTTTTTTTGTGGATTTTTCAATTCGTCAAATTACCATAGTCACGACAGAATGGTAAAACTTCAGTTTCACAAAAACGTGAAATTGAAACTCAGTTTTACGATCGTGGTTGAACTGGCTCTGGCAAGTGGGAGCTCTACGAAAGTCCTGGTCCTACATGCAACCGACGACACACCATGTCGGGCCCAATTCCAGGTCCTACACCATGACTATTTCCTTTTCCTGCACCAGGCCCTACACCCAGCCCAACAAGTCCTGGTGCAAAACCATGCCCCTTCCAGGACCCATGCTGGGCCCAAGGCCGGGTCCTTTGGAAACCAGGCCCCGCACCTGGACCAAGCCATGGAAATCAGGCCCCACACGGGACCTGGCTCAATTTCTGGCGCTTCAGCCTCCTGGCCACTCTCCCAGTCAAATCTTGAAACTCCCCTTCCCTCACAGTTGGACCTCAACACCAGTACGGTAGGACCAACGTCAGGACCGACCCCTGGTCCGAGCATCAAGGTTGGCATCAGCGACTGAGTCAAACGGAGGGCAACCTTAGCGGCACGATGACTCTCTCACCACGAAAGGGGCATTTTCCGTTCAGCCTCAAGCCCTCGCTACGATGGTGTTGTACTCATGTCCCGGTGGCCAGCTAGAATAGGAGAAGGGAACACCAGAACGAAATTCGTATTCGTCTTCCTGTTCAACTCAAAGCGAGAATGCAAAAACAGGTTCAATTTCAAGCAACAGTCTAAAACGCTTTCCGAAATAAAAGCAAAAAATAATCGTATAGCGTTTTTTTTGTCGTATCAAACTTCCAAAACGAAGGTGTCTCCAATCATAGATACATGGATACAATGATTTTTTCTAAGGCTGCAGTCCACCAGCATTCTCATCGACGACTCCAGTTGCCCGCTCAGGCAGGGTAGCTTGAACAACGGTCATGACATCTCTCATGACATCCGATCGGGTCAGAATTCCGACCAAATTATCTTCATCGCTCGGGTCGACTACCAATAAGCGGTGGAGATTGTTTCTCGCCATCCAGTCAGCAGCGGTGGCCATTGCTTCATTGCTCTTGATGGTCATGACTTGGTGCGACATGAGCTCCTCCACGGTGGATCCCACAATCTTTTGTGCCATCTCGACACAGTTTGCCAGGGACTCGGAGGATCCTTCCATATTCAACAGAGCGCCGGAATAATCCTTAAACATGAAATCGGAACTGGAAATGATGCCCAACATCTTGCCCGACTCGGGGTCCACCACGGGAGCTCCCGAGATGCCTCTCGAAAGCAGCACCGAAATGGCCTCGTCGCAGGAGACTTGCGGATGCAGGATGTGCATCTGAGATCGAGGCGTCATAAAGTCATCGACACGTCGTTGGATATTCTTGGATGGAGTACTCACAAACACGCGTGAGGGAGACTGGGGGTTGATATCAGCAGCGGAGGCTCCAGTGGGTGGTTGAGGTTGAGACAAGGCAAAGGCGGCAGAAGGCAAGAGACCTCCAATTGTCATGCAGACGAGAACACGGAAGATTGTCATGATGCCACTTTCAAAAATTTATTCAACAGACAAAGAGCAATCAGGAAAAGCGGAGGGCTTGGAAGAGACAAGGATTAGCAGAGTTGTAGCGGCTTTCAAAGAGTCTCACGTTGTAAAAATAAATGTTGCTAGTTGTGAGTACATGTACTAGAGTATGCATAGTGTGGCCTTCGCTTCTTCATCCGTGAAGACATCCGAAGCCAGGGTTCTTGCTTGGGTGAAGCATGATGAGAACGGCTGCTGGTTGACATCATTTTTCTCTCTCGAGACACCCAAAGATCGCGAATCTGCTGGCTTCTTGAAGTCTACCGACTACCGACTACCGCTACTACTAGTAGCACAGTAGCTATGCATAGCTGGTGCTGAAAACATGAATCGAATCGAATCGAATCGAATCTTTGGTCCCCAAGGCCATTGGAGCCACGGAGACATCGCGGGAAGACACAGAGAAAAGAACAGACAGCCGTAGGCTAGTGCCCTCAACCAGAATTGAATAAAAAGCCTAGTAGGGGCTGGAGCAGTTAGCTAGTATTTGCTACAATGCTATGAGTGATTACAATATCTAACCATGTTCTTTGTTGTATGATAGTTGTTACCCTGTTGTGGATTCCATGTCTGAGTTTTGGCGGCAACTGGAATGAAGTTCAAGCTCCGAAGACTTGTAGTAATGGGCAGCTCGACTGGATTGGTCTGCCCGATTGGTCTGCCCGATACTTAAACCAGCAAGCTTGCCGTTCAAGTTCATTGTAGAGCGGTGCTCCCTTTTGCAAATGGCGCATGTGGCTGCTACGGCTGGTGGTGTTGTGGAGGGGCTGGGTTCTCATCATGGGGCATCTGCACGGACATAAAACAATTCAGCAGGGCAGATAAAAGATCTACCCACCGTAGTCTACGGTGTTTCAAGAAGGTGTTGAAAAAGTCCTGTCGGGGCGATACAAAAACACAGTGGTCCATCCTTAACTTTTGCGGGACTCTGTTTGGTGGTGTCTTCAAGCTGCTTGATTACCGCTGCGATAATAATTACCGCGCGGGACTCATGCAAGCTGTTCAGGCAACGGTATGATGTCAACGTTTCGTCCCCCTTAATTAAATCGAAAGTGTTGTTTCAAGGTTTATTCGCCTCTTCTAAATAGTATTAAGAGCATTAAGGGCAAGATGAAAAGAAGCCTCTCAAACCGGATTTCAGGGTGTCACCTTTCCAAAAAAGTGCAAGCATTCGGAAACCAAAGAGACAACTCAAAAGATCGTCAGAGAGAAGCTGTACACCGTACTGAAGGACCACAGTACTACCAGTAGTCAACGTCTGACCCTCGTCGAAGTCGAATGACGAAAACTGCAAAGGAAAAGAATGCAAAGATCTGGAACCATTCGTATTGTAGCCACCGCAGTACTAACTAAACTCGTAGAGGCCGCAGTAGCACTGGTTCTCTTCTCATCAACATCATCTCTTTCTTTTCGCTTTCTTGAGCTGCCGTCAAACAAAAGGAGGATAACAATATCCAATCTATTTAATTAATAACAGCATCGGCAATCCGCATTACCTTTGTCATTGTCAGAGGCAGCTTGTGAGGCAACCTGTTGAATCAGAATCGAATCCAGAATGAGTAGCAGTTACAGTTGCCACGGCAGCAGCTTTCAGATCCCCCCATCTCTGGCCAAAGAATCCAAGGAGGTATCCTACCACGATTATTCCATCATCAGCCCTCCCCCATCATTGGATTTAGTACCTGATAATGGCAGGGGCACAACCCAGACGTTTCCCCGCAAGCTTCATTATTTGCTAGAATACGCCAGAACCTCAAATGATGGTCTCCGGAATATTGTTTCCTGGCAACCGCATGGCCGATGTAAGTGTCTAGCGTCTTTGCCTGTGGCGCCTCCGTTTAGCGGACGCCGGAGCTCACAATGGAATGCTTGTTATCCCTCCAACAGGTTTCGTGGTACACAATAACAAGGAGTTTGTAGCACAGGTATTACCCAAGTAAGTCAAAGTCAATGATTGTCATTGTGTGAGGCTCTGATGCTGGTGTGTTCTAACGCCGTATGCATTGAATTCCAATCCCTATGACGCTATTAATAGTTGGTTCATGCAGAGCAAGATCGCTTCATTCCAAAGACAACTCAATTTGTATGGGTTCAAGAGATTCACTACAGGTAAGAGCTCCAGGTGTGTGACGTTGAACATCCCAAGGCAAGCGGATCCTCAGTATCTCTCTTTGATTCGATTCGCGTTTGTTCGCCAAAGGAACCGATAAGGGAGGTAAGAGCAGCAACATGAGTATCCCTAGTGTCTACATATGCGAATCCTGTCGAGGATAGCGTTACTAATACACCTTCTCTCCTCACATCCCAGGTTACTACCATGAATGCTTTCTCCGCGGTCGCCCGGACCTGGTGCTACACATCCGGCGGACAAAGGTCAAGGGAGCAGGTCACCGCAAGGCCGCCATTCCAGGTATGTCCATCGCAGGAAAAGACAATGCTGCGAATCCCAACGCAGCCCTCCTCACAGTCATCTCTGCAACTACTCAAAAGGGTCCGAACCAAATTTCTACAGGCAGTTTCCGCTGCCCGAGAAGGACCAGACGCCATCTACGACTTCAACAAGTGCGAGCGGTGTGTTTGTCCCGGCAATGCCCGCTGCTGCGCCACTTTCTACAGGCCTCCTCCCACATCTACAAGAGCCGCATCCATCGCTGAATCCTACTATGCAGCAGGAACAGCTGAACCTGATTCCTGTGCAAAACGCTCCACTGAATCCATTGCCAGAGCAGGCTCAACCCATCATTCTACAACAGGAGCAGCCACAAATGATACCTCTGCAAGAATTGATTCCTCTGCAAGAACAGAATCAACCAATTCAAATGCAAGAAACATACTCGATGAAACCAAACCCAGCGGTGCAATGCACACAGCTTCAGGAGATGAACTATTCCGCCTCTGAATTGGACATCTCCACGGCTCTTACCGCGTGCTGTACAGAGTGGCTCCCCCCACCAGAAGAAGACGATGATGATGATGATGACGACACCGCTGCCACCATGGTCACGGGTGGTGGAAGTGATACCGACATGAATCTCGATACTACACCTGGACTATTCTCCACTCTGAATGGAAACGTGTTCTTCGACAGTTTGGCAAGTTTGAAAGTACCAATACCACTAACCCAAGACCACTTGGAAAAGTCCCCAGGTAACTCCCAACCAGAAATTGTAACGGCGCCACACACAGGTCCAATGGAGGAGGATTTATCATGTAGCAAGGAAAGGAAACCAAAGGATCTCGACTCTTCCCTGCTATTGCTTGGGCAACAGCAGGGATTGTTTTCCGGGCATCAGCCTTCACCATCACTGGCCAACACATTCTGGTACGGGTACCAGAACCACGATATTATCGTGGATGCTTTGAGAGCGTCGGCACCGTTCTATCCTGAATCTGGCGGAGGTTGAGTTTGACTGCATTGTGGTGCAAACATTATTGTATTTGTTCCCTCTGTGGCTGTTACCATCTTTTTAAAAACATGGCCATTGAGCAAGGCTGCTGGACTCATTGGCTGGCTTGACTCCATCCAAGACTGTCTGAAACAGTTCTTGTCGAACCGTAATAATACATAAACAATGCACAGCTCTATCATCTAACCTGAATGGATCGAATCGGTAGAGTGATCTGGGCTTTACGACCGACCGTTTCGCGCAATATTCTCCTCTGGGCTGTATATCGAATATAGTACATGTAAAGTGGGGAATCGATAGAACACATGTTGCTGAGTAAGCCAAAAAATTCTCATCTTCATAGTGTACTTATTGGGGGAGTTATGGACCGTTGAAGATAATGACCTCCTTGCCGGCCAATTCTTTTCACCGCACTTTAAGACCGAATTGTTAGTTGCTCTAAGCTCTCTTCTAGTTGTTACTGTTGCTATTGAGATACTACTGAAAAAGTGGGTGGGTTACCAGCTTTTGCTACTGGCATCAAATTCTAGTACAGAGGTACAGGTTGAATCCCTAATCGCGAATCCCCAACACACTCCTGTGGTCGTCGAGCTTGTCCTAGTCGTCGACCATGCTTACTTACTTACTCCGCTTAGCGCTCCTTCTTTGAACGGACCTTCTTGTCCGACCGTGACCCTCCTTCTGAGTGCCCTGGCTCTGAGTGTTCCACAACACCCATCAACTTGTCCACGTTCTGTTTGAACAGTCGACCTTGGTTCGGCTTCGTCCAGAAGTCCGCAGTCATATCATCAGTTGGACACCAGTCCACACTGATCTCCTGCTTTGTGATTCTGTCGCTCACAAAGAAGTACCTAATGTTGATGTGCTTCGTTCGTTTACTACTAGAAGCTTTGCCGTTCTTCTCTAGAAGGATGGCACTCTTATTGTCCTGATAGACTATAGTTTCTTTAACTACATAGCCTTGCTCCAGAAGGAACTGCCTCGTCCAAAAGATCGATGGCATCAGGTCATCAACTGCTACGAGTTCACTCTCAGTCGAGCTTCTCGTGTTCAACTTCTGTTTCGTCGAAGTCGATAATGGGTAACCGGTGCCCATGGTCAAACCACCTCCGGTATGACCCCTCATGTTTGGATGGACTGCGAAAGAACCATCACATAACCATTTCAATATGCCACTTCCGTCGGCTTTGAGAACTAATGGTAGTGTTTCTAGTACGTCTAATGTACTGCGAGGTGGACTAGTTTATACCCAATCGGCCTATACTGGTTCCTTGCCTCTAGTCGTGAGGAACGATATAGCCGTACCTGTGTCTGGTCGGGCTCTCTTCGTAGCGATATAGCACTTTAGCCACCAGGTTGTGAAAGGTGTCTGCCTGGCTCGTTGGGAGCTTCTTGCAGAGATTCGTTACTGTGAATAGGTTTTTCGGGGCTGCACTACTTCTATTTTTCGTGCCCCTTCCTCTGGCGATGCCTTCTCAAGGCTTCCAAGGATTTCAATCAACGGTGACTTGTACATTGATACGTTGCATTGACCCTTCGTCGTGAAAAGTCCTATGTGTCATCGCCAAGATACGTGTGACCTTTCCTCTGCTCACCGTCATCTCTCCTTCCGTCCTCGAATATGCTTTTCGTATTCATCCGAAGCACTTGTGATCAGCTGGTCGTTAACCTTCGAGTCCTTTTGGCTAAGCTTACAGTGTCTAAATGCCAGCAGACTGTTTGTTGCTTGCCGTCACCATTCTGTTGGCTACTACATGGGTCGTAAGGATTATATCTTAAATCCGTTCGGAACCATCGTACTTCCGGAATTACGGTAGTATAGTAGGGCTAGCTAGCATGGTGCCGTAGATGGAATCAAGCATTGCAGTAAGAACTGCGTTGTTTGCCTTTCTTATCAACGTTGTCACGAACGTTTGTAGACATCTGGGCTATTTCACAAAGCATGTCTACTAGTACTCTCTTCTCTAATGTATTACCAATATTGTCTTTTTCATCCTCGACTGTGTCGTGGATGAAGGCTTTTCGGGATGTCAATTACTGCCCACATCCCTTTCCTCTTCAGCTTCGATTATGCAGGAGAGTGAGCAATGCTTCTGTCGACACTGTTGCGAGCTTGCGTCTTCCTTGAGAGATGAAGTCACGCTGTTTTGTTGCCTCCTGCAACCGCTCGGCCTTTGATTCCCGTTCCTTTTCAACATTTAGGAACAGGTGTGACTCTAGGATACTCTTGCGTTTCATATCGCTGAGTTCTTCCATTTTCTTAGGACGGAAGGTATGCCCTGAGATGTAACTTTTTCATCTCGGCAAAGGCTGCATCGTGGCGCTTTGTCCTTCCACTCCTTGAGTTCAGCCTTCAATTACAACTGTGTCATGATGCCTGTCTACCACATCAGGTTCCTCCTTCTACCTGTGTGTAGAACATGTGTGCATTTTAGCTGGCATTGCCAGCAGACACGTTCAAGGGTCCTTGTATGGACGGTCCTCACTCGCGCCGTCTTTCAGGTACTTCCTTCCATCTAATAGTCTGGGGAATACTCACGATATCGGCCTTGCTTTGGATGTCCTCAACTCTACATAGCACACGTGCCAGCGATCTCTCTGGCGTCATGCATCGTAGTAGTGCACTGCTTGGGTTTTTCAATCGTGCAACCGTGGCTCTGGGATCTGTTGCGCAAGGGCTTTAGTCGCGGGTGAGAGAGTTCGTGTTCGCCGTACCGTCAGCACGCGATACCAGGTTCCTTTACCGGGTTGAGATCCCAGGTAAATCACGTTACTTGGGGATAACAGATTCTCGTCGATTCTCATTTACGCCTTTAAGATGCCATTTCATTCGGTTCGTTGACTATCGATTCGGCAGTCGTCGTCGTTGACGTTGTCCTGGGGATCTGCGATCAGGGTAGAGCTCAAGGATCCCTGACCACTATTTCGTGCTAATGGTTTCAGCCCAGTTCCTGCGTGCCAGTGATGCCTACATCTGGTTTGGATCTAATGGCCCTAGTAGGGGGTGCGGTCGATGTGGCTTGTCTTACTTATACCCTTCCTCAACTACCACCTGTGTATCTCGGATCATGCGGAGACACTAATGGCCGTACTCTCCCTTTTTCGATCAGTAAAAACAGTAGTTTAGGCTGATCATTTCCTAATAGATTGACTCTATGCTATCACTGGGTCTGCCCGCATTGGGGATCTTGGCTGCCATGGAATGCCGAGTATATTCCGTTTCTTGCCAGGAGTCGGTAGGCTCACAAAAGTGTGTGAGCCTCCTTGCTTATTTCAGCTCGTTCCCATACAGATTGCCGCCTTTTTGCGTCCTACCATGCTGTAACGGGGCGAGTCTTCTTCATGCACCTGGCAGTAATCTCCGAACTGCAGGCTCATGTGCTTTTTATAGTCCAGGGACTCTCCCATCTTTATCATACGGGGGCTCAATGTCTCGCTGACCCCCGCCTTACTTGAGAAGTACGTCAATTGTTTGACGACTTGTAACACCAAGTTAACGGTTAATATTTTTGGCATGCGTGTAAACGGTAGGCTTTGCCGGACAGCTCGTGTCCCTTCCTTGACTACCCCGAATTCTACGTTCGATCTCGGGTACGTGCTCGTTAGCACTGGCAAGGTTTCACGCGTA